TATAAATTGGCGATGAATATTTTTTATAAGTGACTTTCCTCTCATTCAGTTGACTAAATGTTCTGTTTGGCTATTATTAAAATATATTTTCATAAATTGATGCAAGTTACATATGCTTCATAGTCACTGAAACTTGTAGTTGTTCAACACAGTTTTGAACATGATTACCTCAATGATATGAATGCAAAATGAATAACCTGGACTTCTAAGGGAAATATATTTAAGTGGAGTTATGGACCAAAATATTTCAATAAATCTAAATCAATCAATCAGATTTCAATATATATATATATATATATATATATATATATATATATTTTGATATTTGCAAGACTATTCTTTTCCCATGTTGGCTTGCCTCATGGCCCTCATTCATATATCCATTTGATGCTAACCCAGAAAGAAAAGTTAGATGATTAACACACCAGTAGTCCGTAGTGTTTTGCTCAAGTTGTAAAAGAGATGGTAATATTAATTTCTTTATTGTGATTTACTATATTGATTAATTATTTATTTATCCGCTAGAAGTACTTTTGTCATATTAGTTTGCAACTGGCAGAGTAATACCTGGCATGCTGGAAGTGGACAAGAGGAGTCATACTAAACATGAATATGTGATGAAACTCCGCCGACTAATGTTGCTAAGGAAATATGGTAAATGACTAACATTCACTTATATTCACTAAATTAATCTATGAGTTTTATCAGTGTTCTTTAACTTTTATAAGGTCGATTCAATCACATTTTTTATAAAACTCAAACTTGATAAATATTGAAGTGTTAGCAGTGTGGTAAGGTCTTTGCTGTCTTGCTGATATAATTTCTCCTATGATCCCAGCAAGTGAAGCACCTGTGCTGATTCTAGAATGTTTTTTTGTTGATGGGATCGACCAAAGGATTGATAAGGCTATGCAGGAAAGGCAGAAAAGGTGGTTGGGGCATGGAGAAAGGTTGATTTATGGAGGCCCGGGGGTGCAGCACAGATGCCTCCCTTGCTGATTTTGCAATATATACTTATGGACTGGAGGAGAATATCAATCCTGGATGAGAATCTAAAGATTCTAATAACAAGAGAAAAGTAGCAGCATAGGGTTTCTCCTCATCAATGGTTGATTCAAATAAGAAGCTAATTGTCTGCTGAAGTCGGTACTCCAGTGCTTGGAAGATCACAATGTAAATCAATGAGATGATCGCAGGCATTGAGAAAGAAATCACTGAGCTAAACAAGATAAAAGCAATCCAAAAGAGAAGATGGTGATGATGAGCAGCATGATGATTAGATGATGGCGAATGATCTCTCCAAACTCATGTGCTGTCCTTAAACTTTCAGCTCTAGTTAGTTTGGTTTTACAGTAGATTAGATTCAACGGATTATTTATGTAGCTACGATATTCAGTTATTAAATTAAAATTTATATTGATATTTTGTGTTATGTAAGGAAAGCATCTATTTATGTCATATTTTATGTTAGTATTAGAGATTTTTTAATATTTAAAGAAGTATGGAATTGGGCATCTATTGATTACGATAAAAATTAAATTGCATTGAATGATTTTTAGGGGTGATATATAATAATATAATAGTGCCTCTAATAACATCTTGACTCTTGAGTCATTAAAATTAGTTGCTTCTAATAACATTTTGTGACAACATAACATGGTGCATCTAATGACCTTTTGAGGCAAAGAGATATGGTTGCTTCTAAATATATCTTTTAGAAGCATAATTTTTTTTGCCTCTAAAGACAGTTTTTAGAGGCAACCATCATTTTGCGACCGAGTATTTGTTGGCAACCACCAAGTTGCCTCTAAAGAGCATTAGAGGCTACTCTCCTATTTTTAGAGGCAATTTTGTTATGCCTCTACAAATCACTTTTATTGTAGTGAAACTTTAGCTTTGAAAATTTTCAGAACTTCGAAAACTTCTTTAAACTTCGAAAACTGAGAATATAAAAAATCCTTTTAAACTTCGAGAAGCTGAGAATATAAAAATTCTTTTAAAACTATCGAGAAGCTAGGAATATCGAAAACTCTTTTTAAGCTTCGAAAAGTTCTGAATAGGGAAAAAAATATCAAGTTTCGAAAAATTCTGAGATACAAGAAAACCCAAAGTTCGAAAGATTCTAAACATCGAGAAACTCTAAAACTTCGAAATCTTCATAACATCGAAAACTTCCTGCTTTGAAAATCTGCAAACGTGAAATCAAAAATTTCTTTAGAAATGATATTGCAGGTTGTTGTCAAACGGATTTCAATCCTAATCTTCCAGAAATCGCTGAAAAAACATTGAAAACAGATTAGGCAAACCAAAATATCGAAAACTCTGTTTTTCAAATAGGCAGGGCCTTTCTCGAAAATGGCAGATCCGAAAAACGCAGATGGATCCTATTATTTTCTTTATAAAAAAAGAAAAATGGTGGATGTAACAAGATAAAGGATCTTGGTTTTCATCTTTAAAGTGACATGTTGCTTTATACCACATTGTTGCAAATAACATTGGACCATAATATTATTTATTATAATTTGGAACCAATATGTACTTGATTAAATCAGGGAATCCTGAAAAGTCTCTAGTATTGGTTCGTATTCTAACAATCAAACAATCATAAGAATGATAGAAGAAGCAGATAGATTGAATGAAAATTTGGTACATCGTGTAATGGCCGCTGCTCTCCCTCTAGAGAGAGAGAGAGCAGCCTGAAAACTGTTCTATTCTATTCTGCTTATATGCTCTATGCTTTCTCTTGGTTTTCCTTATAAGTTAGCCTCCTTTTATAGGAGAGGATGGCTAACTTATGGCTTACAAGAGAGGCTAATGGGCTAATATTCAATTGTGGCCTATATAACACATTTAACTAACAACTACACAAATACAAAGACATCTAACTAGATTGGACACCAGAAAAAGTCCTAACATTACCTTTTTGAAGTGGTGGGCAAAAGGGTACTAGAACCGCAGGTTGGGCCGGGTAATACAGGTTCGGAGCCGGTTATGGTTGGGTCCCAATTTTAGAAAATCCAAACGGTTCGGGGCGGGGTGGGTCCTGAAAAACTTAGGAACCGAACGGGTTTCCAAGTTTGAAAAAACGGGTACCCGGATTGAACCGTTTTAAAATATTATTTTGTTAATCTCTATTATATGTAATATAATAACAAGACACAAAAGCTTTTCTTGTGTCTAGACAAAAACTTCCAATTAAATAAACTTTTCACTCTACTAAATATAGTTTCCAAGTCCGTATAATTAAACACCTTAATTATTTTCATCTATTCTCTATTTCAAATGCACCAAACTTTCTTTCTTTAATATTTTGTTGTAAACAAAGACAAATAGGTCGTATAGTAAATAGTTTAATTTCTTATGAATTTATGGTGCTATCTTTGTAAGTGTGACATATTCATTTAATTATCTTAATTTTACCTATACTTGAAGATTTAATAAGATTTAAATTATTTTCATAGACAAATAGGTATAGTAAATAGTTTAATTTCTTATGAATTTATGGTGCTATCTTTTTAATTAGTGTAAGAATGATGATTAACATTTTGATTAAGATGGTTGTGTGTTGTTTGATTTATAAATTTGTGGTTCGATATTTTGTTAACTAATTTAAAATGTTGTCTTATACTTTTATTTTAAATTTTTATTATATTTTGGTTACATTAATAGGTAATTAATTTGAAAATTTTACTCCCTCCGGTTCTAAATAAACTTCTCACTTTCCTTTTTGGGACGGTCCAAAATAAACTTCACACTTCCTTATTTCCTTATTTGGCAAAGAAATCTACACCAAAACAGTGCCAAACAGTGCCAAACAGTGTCTCAACAGTGCCAAACAGTGTCTCAACAGTGCCAAACAGTGCCAAACAGTGTCTCAACAGTGTACTCTACAGTAAAGTCAACTTTATTTCCTTAATAACTGTGAAGTCAAACACTGAAGTTTAAAAAGAACCGGAGGGAGTATAACTTAAATTACTAGAAACTTTGTTTGCATAGCCGTATTTTTTTTTACAAAATAAGAACCGAGGACTCGGACCGAACCGGCCCGTTTCAAATGGGGCGGGTAAGATTCGGTTCCTATTTCAAAACTTGATATACCCGGACCGAACCTATCCGTTAAATAGAACCGACGATTCTTGAAAATTTATCAATTACCCAGACCGACCCGGACCGTGCCCATCCCTAGACTTATTTGTGATTGGATAAAAATACCCTTATAAGAGTTGGAGCTCTTGTCTCCCGCTCACGGAATTTGTTCCGCAGTACGCCACCGTCAATCTGCCAAAATGGCAAAATCTCAACGTTGTCTGCGCCGCCAAACTGGCCTTTGTTATGTAACAAATTTAGTGGCAATTATTATATTAATTAGATTAGGATTATTAGGGAGAGAAATATAATATTCAGACCTATTTAAAGATAACTGAATATAACTTTTTTATAAGAATGCTACAGAGTATATTTTATTCCTATCATGGACAAATCACAAATGTCTCTCAAATTAATTATTCCTCTTCTGAATTCAGGACCCAATCCAAAAGAATGTAATTTACATTATTTTGTTTTGTTTTTAAAAACTCAAAACTCAACCCACTTTGTGTGATAAATTGAGGTAGAGAGACCATATATACAACTACTTTCTGCATAACTAAACAATAACTTACAAAAAAACACAGTAACTAATAAACCAGATTTTTCTTTCAGGGGTAATTGACTAATTCTTTGGCAATATTAGAATTATCTCAAATTTACTCCCCCAGTTTAACACTCTCTGAACTTTACCACTTCATAATACACTCTTAACTCTTCTACCGTTGCCCTTTTAACGGCTTTGTTTCCCTTTTTCTTTTCGAAATTCTTCACACTTGCCGGATAAGGGGGAAAAGTAGCAATTTGAGTCTCAATCATCTTTAATCTTTAAATACGCGTAAGTATTTTATGTATATATATATATATCTGACCGGTCGAATTGATAGTGCAATATCTTGTAGTAGTATCATATTCTTGCAAAAATGAGGCATTTTGTGATAAATGCATTCTTCTCTCTCCTCGTCATTTCTTTTGTTCTAGGTACTTTAATAAATAATCCACTGCTTTTTTATGTTTTTTTTTCTTATTTCGGGTTGTGTTTTTTAATTTATTATAAGAATTATATATCAATCAAACATAAAGAGTGGGAGGGTCTGAACTTTGAATGATTGAAAACTATCAATTAAAGGTCTAAAATTTCAAAGACTTTGATTTCAATTTTTAAAATTTGTCTTAATTCCATTGAGTCATTTGGGACTAAGGCTTGGTTGTTGTTGTTGTTTTTGTTGTTGTCTTAATTCCATTGAGAATTTTTGATGAATTTTATTCACAAAATTTATTAGTTTAACAAGATTAAGTACAATTCAATCTTATTAAAATAAGAATATTAAAAATCATGGTATTTTTAGGTTTAAGATTGCTAATCAATTATTCAAATTTTATATCAACACATGCACTTCATCCTTGAATTCCCTTATGGATAGTAGACATATCTTTATAAAATTCCTATTGTATTATCTATTCTATAGTTAAATGCCAACATGATATACTGAAATGAGTTCCGATCCTACAACCTCCACCTCGGGAGCAGGTAGGGCGGAATGTTGAAGTAGGTTGATACAAAGTTTTTTTATTAAATTTTTTACAGGATATTTTTAGCTTAACTATTTGATTATAATTGAAACTTGGGGTGGGTCTTAACTATGCCTCTACTTGGAAGTGTTATAGTGATGTCATATAAAGTTTACTTGTAGTCGATTTCATTACAAATAAAATAAACAAGGTCTTTTGTTTATACTATTGACATGTTTGTGGTTGTTTGTTTATAGTAGTGGACGGAGATGATAACGCTTGCGCCAAAGGCACCGTCAGCCCAGTGTATTATACAGATGCGGTGCCGCCGCCATGTCTAAATAATATAACGGCGGCCACAGCTTTTTGCCAGAAAAGCTGCGAAACAAAAACCAACACTACATTTCCATCCGTTTTGGGATCGTGTTATGTCGATGACAAACCAAAATGTGGCTGTCAAAACCAGAGTTCTTGCACCGGAGTGGGCAACGTTGTTTCTCACGCGCCACTCTATTTTACAGCTCCACTACACATAACAAATGTACTAATATCGGTCCTCATGCCATTCATATACATGTTCCATTAATTAAGTGCAAGTTTTTTGTTTTCCCTTTCATTCTTAATTTGTACCGTATTCGTGTCTTCCCTCCTCGCCGGCCGCCGGATGAACTAATTATAAGGGACAGTGTTAAGATCCGGGGTTCCATCCTAAAAAGTCAACCTGTTAAGAGGAGTAGCCCGAAGCTTAATATAGTACTCTAATTCTTCTCAATTTTCCGGTGTGGGACATTTAACACCCCTCCTCACGACCAGACACTTCGTCTGGATCGTGTCGTCATTCTTTTTTTCATCGGTTCGTCATTTTTCATAAGGGACCCCACACCATGGATCAGTTTGGCTCTGATACCATGTTAAGATCCGGAGTTCCATCCTAAAAGGTCAACTTGTTAAGAGGAGTAGCCCGAAGCTTAATATAGCACTCTAATTCTTCTCAATTTTCCGGTGTGGGACATTTAACAGACAGAATTACAATCAGAGATCATCCCGGCATTTCCAGGCCACTATCAGGATTCCTGTCTGAATCGATCTTTCATTAATTAATACAATCGTCTGTTGGTTTTCATTTGTTTAAAAAATGTCATCTTGTTTTGTTGAATGTACTCCTTTGACTACTCTCTACATTTGTGCGTCAATTTACTCGTTCAATTATCTTTCTTTTTGCGGGACGTTCTATTATGTTTTTTGATTGATATAATTCTCTTTAATATTTGTGATTTCATTTATCACTAGTGCAAAAACATCTTATGCATATGATATGTTTACGAGTCGCTTTTTACAGAGTATGTGACTCATAAAATCTTGGACAAAAGCATAGCAATTTTATGTGTCACTTATATATACTCGGCATATAATAACGAGTGTGATGTGTACCTAAACGTTACAACAGAGTACTCAGTAATTCAGTATAACTTCATTTATCACCAATTGTTTCGCACGACTGTGCTAGGAGACGTATAAACAAGAACAAAAAGCTTGTGCAAGCTGAATATTCAGACCTATTTAAAGAAAACTGAATATAACATTTTTATAATAATGCTACGGAGTATCCATATTTTAATCCTATCATGGACAAATCACAAATGTCTCTCAAATTAATTATTCCTCTTCTGAATTCAGGACCCAATCCAAAAGAATGTAATTTACATTATTTTGTTTTGTTTTAAAAAACTCAAAACTCAACCCACTTTGTGTGATAAATTGAGGTAGAGAGACCATATATACAACTACTTTCTGCATAACTAAACAATAACTTACAAAAAAACACAATAACTAATAAACCAGATTTTTCCTTCAGGGGTAATTGACTAATTCTTTAGCAATATTAGAATTATCTCAAATTTATTCCCCCTGTTTATCACTCTCTGAATTTTACTCGTGTGCCAATCTTAGTGAAGTGTCCCAATCCATGTGGAGTGAAGTTCATTTGATTGGCACCATCAAATTGGCTACGAGTATAGTGCCAATCACTTCACTAAGATTGGCTACGAGTATAGTGCCAATTACTTCACATCCTACCATTTATTTGATTGGACCACATCACTTTACTTGACGAACATTTCATGAAGTGGAAATAAGCAAAACCAAGTCCCAATCTTATTGTTAAAATTAATTAAATCAAATCAATCTTAAAACCCCCCTTTGCAACAATTTAATTAAAAGAAAGATATTTCTTTCCATGTGGATATGATGCTTACTTCACTATACTACGTATAAGTGTTGTATTAAAATTTATTTTGAGACACATAATAACTTCAGTGACGTCATCACTCCTAGCATGCGCAAAGCTTTAAAATAGGTTTCTCATATTTGGTATGACCAATGTTCTAAAGATCGCTAGAGCCGCCCGACTAGTCTCCGCCTAAGTACTAGAAGGTGGTCGAGCGCCCCGATTTTAGTCTAGGCGCTCCGACTAATTGATTAGGTGAGTAGATGAATTAGTCGGACGCCTAGGGTGTCTAGCTGCGGGCCCGCCCAGAGCGCTTAATCCAATATATTTCGCTAATTTTCAATTCATTCAATGTAATAATTACTTCCTCCGTCCCATTTATATTGTCCCGTTTTACCTTTTCGGGAAGTCCCATTTAAATTGTCTCATACCATATTTGGCAAAGTTTGTGTGGCTCTAAATCATTCTTACTTTATTCTTACTTTATCAATTATTATCAACCACACAAACCCACTTTTCTTAATAATCGTGTCACCCTCTTCCGTCCCAATATAAATGGGACGGAGGTAGTAAGACTTAGAGTCACATGTCAAAAGATCAATCACGGAAAAGTAGTTCAAAGCATTATAGGGAGTATATATAATGGTTTGTATATTTAAACATAGACGGTATGCGGTAGCCTATGTAAGGTGGTAGAGACTGTATAATCAAGTCCTATCTGTTGTGCTTGACATAAACGAAGAATAACACAATAAAGAAGGCAATCAAAAGCTCACACATTCATTGAATGAATTAGGCTTTATATAGCCATATTACAAGAGATAATGACCACAGACTAGAATAACAAACTCCTAATATTAAGCTATGCTTATACGTGCATAATAATCCTATCCATTAACTAACAATACCTCCTTAACAATAGGAAACAACCTTAGACTTATTCAAATGCTTAATAACTAAACAAATAATCAACAAATATATCAAATGGTACGTATGCATGTGACCATGCACTTCTAATTTGGATCACTTTCAACACCACCCCTTGATCCAAGCTTAGTCATCCCAATTCTCTTCATGAAATGATAATGCTTTGTATGATTCAGTGCTTTAGTGAACAAATCTGCATTTTGCCATTCAGTACCACAGAATTGAAGTGAAATACTTCCTTTTGCAACAAGCTGCCTTATGAAATGATGTTGAACATCTATATGTTTGGTCCTGGAATGATAAGCTGGATTTCTTGTCATTGCTATAGCTGATTTGTTGTCACACCACAATTCAATTCCATCTGATTGAGCACATCCCAAGTCCTTTAGCACCTTGCTGATCCATAAAGCTTGCTTTGCTGCTGCTCCTGCTGCCACATATTCAGCTTCAGAGGAGGATAAAGCAATGGTTTCCTGCTTCTTTGAGCTCCAAGTTACTGCCCCTGATCCTAGGTCAAAGACTGACCCTGACATGCTCTTCCTGTCATCCACACACCCAGCCCAATCACTATCAGTATACCCTCGCAATTTGAGATCCTTCACACTTGAGTACCACAATCCATACTCCAATGTCCCTGCAACATATCTCAAGATTCTCTTTGCAGCACCGAAATGTTGTTTTGATGGCTTTTGCATGTACCTAGACACCATACTAACACAATAAGCCAAATCAGGCCTTGAATGTGTTAGATAATTAAGTCCCCCTACTAGGCTTCTGTAAAGTGTGACATCTGCATCCTCAGTACCATCACATTTTTGGAGCTTCTCACTTGCATTCATGGGTGTAGCAATAGTCTCACAAGCCTCCATGTGAAACCTTTTTAGGAGATTAATAGCATACCTCTTCTGACTGAGAAAGGTGCCCTCTTTTCCTTGCTTAGCTTCTAATCCAAGGAAGTACTGAAGTAGTCCCAAATCAGTCATCTCAAACTGATTTGTCATTGATGCTTTAAAAGAGGTTAGCAGACTTTGTGAAGAACTGAAATAGATAATATCATCAACATAGAGGCAGACAACTAGAAATTCCATACCTACCCTCTTAACATACAGAGTAGGCTCATTGTCACTCTTCTGAAATCCTGAGTTGATAAAAAAGGAGTCAATTTTGCTGTACCATGCTCTAGCGGCCTGCTTTAGCCCATAAAGAGCCTTCTTGAGCCTATACACCTTTTCTTCCTCCCCTTTCTTCACAAAGCCCACTGGTTGATGAACATATACTTCCTCAAGCAAGTCACCATTAAGAAATGCTGACTTGACATCCAATTGGTACACAGGAAGCTTCCATTGTGTAGCCAGTGCAAGGACAATCCTTACAGTTTCAAATCTGGCTACCGGAGAGAAAGTTTCTTCATAGTCCACCCCTTCTTGCTGAGCATAACCTTTGGCTACAAGCCTAGCCTTATGCTTAGAGATACTTCCATCTTGATTATATTTAGTTCTGTACACCCATTTTAAGCCAATCACATTCTTTTCTTGGGGCAGACTTACCAACTCCCAGGTTTTGTTTCTCTCAATGGCATTGATCTCTTCTTGCATTGCCTGTGTCCACTCATCATAGATGGCAGCCTCATGATACTCTGTAGGCTCAGTAACAATGAAAGCAAAGTCACAAGATTCATATATATCAACTAGTGACCTGACTTTTCTAGGCTGATCACTTGATGAACTGCTAGATTCTGAGCTAGAGCTTGATGAGTTTCCAACTTCAGAACTGGCATTTGTGTTGTTTGGAGAATTTGGAGGAGTAGTTGGAGGTGAGGAGGTGACAGGAGTAGCTGGTTCTGACTGAGGTGAAGATTGATCATCAAGACTGACAATTCTGGGTGCATCTTGCTCAGTATTGGACTCCCAACTCCAGGCTGCATCTTCATCAAAGATCACATTTCTGCTAATAACAATCCTTTTTGTAAGAGGATTGTAGAGTCTATATGCCTTAGATTGAGTTGAATATCCTATGAAAATGCATTTTTCTGCCTTATTCTCTAGTTTAGTTCTCTGGTTCACTAGAGTGTAGGCTATGCATCCAAACACTTTCATATGACCTACTGAGGGTGTCTTCCTCCTCCAAGCTTCAAATGGTGTGCAATTGAGTACTGCCTTAGTTGGACAAACATTCAGAATGTAAACAGCTGTAGATACAGCTTCACCCCAGAACTTGGTTGGCATGTCTTTGGCTTTGAGCATACTCCTTGCCATTTCTACAACTGTTCTGTTTTTCCTCTCAGCTACTCCATTTTGCTCAGGAGTATAAGGTGCTGTAAATTCTCTTCTTATTCCTTGCTCATCACAGAAGTCAGTAAAAGCATTGGAACTGAATTCACCTCCTCTATCAGTTCTAAGTGCTTTGACTGACTTCCCAGTCTGATTCTCAACTAAGGCCTTAAACTTCTTAAAGTTTTCAAGAGCTTCAGACTTGGTCCTTTGAAAATAGACCCAAGACATTCTAGTAAAATCATCAGTAATCATTAGAAAGTACCTGCTACCTCCTAATGATTCAGTCTCCATTGGACCACAAAGATCAGCATGGAGCAGTTCTAGACATTCACTAGCTCTCCATGAGCCTCCTGAGGGAAAAGAACCTCTAGATTGCTTCCCATAGATGCATCCCTCACACAGCTCCAACTTGCCAATACTAGGTAGGCCTCTAACAAAACCTCTAGTACTCAGTAATTGCAGACTAGTCATGTTAAGATGACCATACCTTAAATGCCATAATTTGGCATTTTCTTCTCCCTTCACAACTAAAGCTCTTCCATTGGTTGATGCCAAATCCATGGAAAACAGCTTGTTTCTTCCCATTTTAGTCTTTAGCAAGACTTCCTTTGTGCCTCCATCCCTTATTGTGCATACTTCATCTGCAAAGGAAACTGAGTAACCTCCTGCCACCAATTGTCCAACACTTAGCAGATTATGAGCTAAGTGAGGAACATATTGTACATTAGACAAAGCTTTCTTCCCTCCTTGTTCTGTCTATACTGAGATCACTCCTAGACCTTTGACTTCAAGTTGTTTGCCATCACCTATTCTGACAATGCCTTTCTTAGTCTCATCAATATGCTGAAACATGCTCTTTGATCCTGTCATGTGGTTTGAACAACCACTATCAATATACCATACTGTACGTCCATCATGATCCAAATTATGATGTGCAATAAATAATTGTTCTTGCTCAGCATAATTAGATCTATGATCTTCTCTCTTAGGGGCTAGATCTGGATTCTTTCTCCAGCATTCTGCTTCCTTATGACCATTCTTGTTACAATAGTAACATTTAATGGGAGGTTTAGAACTGCCTTGTCTTCCTCCATGGCTAGAGGAACCTCTTCCTCTGCCTCTTCCACCATGACCACCTCGGAAGCCTCCCCTACCTCTTCCTCTCCCCCTATTTGGGGACTGGAAGGCTTGATCATTTGTTGATTCATTCTGGGCTTGAAAAGCTTGTTCTTCATTCTTTTCAGCTTCACCACTGTGTCTTTCTTCATATGCCTGAAGAGATCCTGTGAGTTCTTCAAAGGTATAGGTTTCCATATCCTTAGCTTCTTCAATAGCACATATAAGCTGGTTATATTTTGGTGTAAGACTTCTCATTACTTTGCTTATCACCTGCTGAGATTGAACCTCCTCTCCATAAGACCTCATCTTCTGCACCAAGGTTGTGATTCTTGATAAATAGTCCTGAACTGACTCCTTATCTTTCATGCGTGTGTTTTCCATCTCCCTTCTGAGAGACTGCAATCTGACCATGATTACCTTCCTATCTCCTAGGTATTCTTGCTTTAGAATACTCCAGGCTTCTCTTGAGGTAGAGGCTGCAGCAATGCGTGGAAAAATATCATCATCTAGAGCTTGTTGAATAAGGAAAAGGGCTTTGGCATCTTTCTTCCTTTTTTCTCGAAGGGCTTGATCTGGCTCATGAGGCTGCTCATCAACAAACCCTTCCTCCACCACACTCCATAGTTCTTGTGACTTGAAGAGGGTCTTCATTTTCAAGCTCCAAAAGTGATAATTAACCCCTTTGAACAAGGGTAATTGATTGGCTGAATTTCCATTTGTTGAGCTTTGCATTTTAGGGTGATTGAGTGTTGTTTTTCTTGGTTTTCTTTCGTGTATTCAAGACTGATCCAACCCAGGCTCTGATACCAAATGTTGTGCTTGACATAAACGAAGAATAACACAATAAAGAAGGCAATCAAAAGCTCACACATTCATTGAATGAATTAGGCTTTATATAGCCATATTACAAGAGATAATGACCACAGACTAGAATAACAAACTCCTAATATTAAGCTATGCTTATACGTGCATAATAATCCTATCCATTAACTAACAATACCTCCTTAACAATAGGAAACAACCTTAGACTTATTCAAATGCTTAATAACTAAACAAATAATCAACAAATATATCAAATGGTACGTATGCATGTGACCATGCACTTCTAATTTGGATCACTTTCAACACTATCCGCCGAAACTTTTGGTCCGTTTTTGACGATCAAGTTTTCCGTACAGTCCGTACAGTTTGGGCCGTACAGTTTACTAATTCTTTTTTTTGGAAACGCGTCCTAGTTGTCTTGGGGTTAGCTTTTACTTCTCTATAAATACAAGCTCTCTCCCTTGTAATCAATGATCCGAAAATATGAATAACATTCCTGACTTGATAACGCCTCCAGACGTAGTCATTCGTGGCGTACTGGGTTACCAAATTTCGCGTGTTCTTCGTTATTGTTCTTCATGTTCGTGAGTTTAATTCTTAACAGCCTAAGAGTACTTATCATTTGAATGTACAACGCGAGCTCATACTGCGTATTGTATTTTAAAATACGTAGTAGCTCATTTCGTATTAGGCAAATGCTAATCATATATCATTGGGACATTAATAATGAAAGTATTGAAAGAGCTCCAATGGTATATCATCTAAAAGACTTTCTTTCTCATACATCCCATGCGTATACTATATATACTACTCCGTATATACGTAGTATATAATGTGATAGATATAAATTTGAAATAGAACAATTAAGCTTAACTTCTTTTTAGTTGAGATTCTTGTATGTAAAACGCATGCTAAGTGTGCCTACTAATTAAATTAGTCTTGTTTGTTTTAACTTAATATAGCCTGGTATTTCATTTATTTCAAACGAAATACCTAGTGAAATGCAGATCTTTTTTCTTAATTGTAAGTTGTTACCAACTGCACTCTTAGGCGAATTATATGATTTAATTATACATCTAAGTATTTTTCTAATACTTGCTTAAAAAGTCAAAAGTATTTTACTTTTTTAAACAAAAGAAGAAGACCGCGGGATGCCAGAGGGTACAATTAGAGTACAAAGAGAGACTAAGATGTACGTTGTTGCATAGCTATTATAATTTATAAAGTCACTTTAACAACTTTTTGACGAATCCTTGAGGAATCCCAAAGATTTAATGTTTTTAATTATATCAACCCTTCCTTAATTAAATGAAATTTAATTTGTTCCTAAGAAAACGTTAATAACTAACTTCTTTTAATTTATTCCATTAAAAATAACTTATTTTTTCTTCTTTTTTGTAAACGTTATTTAATTTTTCTTCACGTACACAACAGCAGTAGAAGCAGATTAATGAATCTAGTAGGAGTTGTAATATTTTTCTAAACTTCTAACCGATTTTACTATATTCTTCAACGTAAGTACGTAACTAATTAATTTTAAGTATACTTTGGTTTTATTTGATATGGATCAATAAAAGGTAGACTGTTTAATATTTATTCGATCTATAAGTTCTATACATAATTATTTTTATTTAGCTGTAATTTCTAAATAAAAGTAGATGTTTTAATTGTGAGTATTCTTGACTTGTATATCATAATAAGTCAGGATTAGAAATACAGTAATGTTATTGGTTAAAATGTGCGAATTAAACTACTGTGAAATCATGTGCTCGGTATAGAATTCATTTATTGTACCTTTGTGTGTTGCACATATATATTGTTTCACTTAATTAATGCACATTTCAATTTTACGTAATGCACATTCAATTTCACAAAATATAATATAACGGTCCAGATTCATTCTCATTTCGCTCCTAATATCATTTTGTCACTTGAACTTAATTCTATTACATATATATATATATATATATATATATATATATATATATATATATATATATATATATATATATATATATATATATATATATATATAGTTGTGCACTCCTATACGTGAAAGTAAAATTATTGTAATTAGGAATGAAAGGAAGTACCATATGTGTAATGGTTCGTGCCTTTGTGTTGGTCTTGATTTTTGAAAACGTTACTCATTTAGTACGTTTTTTTTGCAATAAGGAAAAATAGGTCACACAGTACGTTGTTTTGTAGCTTTTATTATGGAATTTTGGGTGAATATAATATTGATGGCTTAGTCTATTTTCCCAATTTCCCTTTACTCCATATTTCTTGATTGCTTGCTAATTAGGAAACATTATAAAGCATGATTAAACGCAAGAAATATGTGATTTAGTCAACACTCTAACTTCTAAGTGAAAGAAAATTTAGTTTTAGAGATCAGACATCTACACCTTGTTAACATAGGGGTAGGCCAGGAGCTAGTGTTTTTGACTTGGTCACACCGCCACGCACTCATTCATTGTTTATTTTGGTGAAATAATTTAATACAACCTCTTGAGAAAACTAGCAAATTAAAACTTATGACTTGGTCACTTGGCAAAAGGAGGATTCCGTTTGAAAAAAAACCTTTTGTATACACTTTTTACTATTTATACACTTCAGCAACATGTCTGTAGGTGAAAACTTTTGTTGTCTGTGAATACACTCTAACAGACAAAACATTTTGTCTACACAAACAAGAAAGGTTTCACAAACGTATGCAAAAGCGTATAAAGTAAATTTAGTGTGTAAAATTGTAAGATTGTTATAAGTACGTCAATCGACCAAGTAAGAAACGATTGAAGATGAGAGACAATTAACAATTTGTCTTCTCCTTATGTGAGGTGGCTTCAAGTAAGAATAGATTAGATAAGAGAAAAAGTGTTTTATGTTTGGATTGTTGGTTTTCAAAAAGTTTGATGCGGGAAATCTGTTGGCTAATGAACGCAAAGAATTATAACGTGACTTTTTAACATGTTATTGGTACGACGTACATCCGCTCATTACTAGTTTTCCACTGTTTAGCATATGGTTGACAGTTTATAAGCTTATAGGCGTTATAGCGCTAGATCTAAACGTACGTACGTTACTTTCTTTTCACTCATTTTTTTAAGAGTATAGAGGAGGTCTTCCAAAAGTTATAGTCTACAAGGATACCTCGCTCTTCCACCTCTTCATATGAACAATATGTTGTTCATATGTAAAATTATACTATTACAAAATTTACAACATTCATCTAAAAATTAAAGATCAATTCCTAGTGTGATTAGATGGATGTTTTAAATATTATAAATAATTATCTATTTATGGTTAAAATAAACATTGTTTACAATAATGTGACTATTGACTTCAGTAGTAATGGAATCATAGTAACTTATGTTCATTTTATAAACTTAAATTACCATGACACTATGTTGTAGTAAGTTAGTAACTATTAGTCAAATTTTGTAAGTAAGTTTTATTTTGGTAATATTTTTTAAAAAAAACCCAACTCAACTAGTCCGATCTATGCCTTAAGGCAAATTATACCGTGGTACCGGCATACCATGAGCATGGTATGCCTGTACCACATACGGCACCATTTTTCTTTCTAATGAGATCACTACGTATGTTTTTTTGTTCTTTTCCCAAATTCCCTTAAGTCCACCCACTTTCTTTTCCCTCAAGTCATCCAATGTGCCAGGTATGCTATTTCTTTCTCTTTACTTTTCTTTTATTTTCTTGAATTCTTTTTTCATCTCCATCAAAATACTAAAAATATTAATTGTGATTTTGCTTATCTTTATTTTTAACTAATTTATTTCAAACTTAATTATAACTACTTTTAAAAAAATTATTACAAAATTTTATTAATCCACATAAAATAAGTATATTGCATTAATAATCATACACTACTTTTGCCAAAAAAAATCATACACTACTTTTTTTACTTTTTTTCTTCAATTGAAATTACTATTGAATTTATTTTTTTAGAAGTTTTTTAAGAAATTAAGTTTGTTTATTTTGATTTTTGAAGTTACATTTGATAATATATCATGGAATTACATCTTCTTCTGCGCAAGTTACATCTCAACGTACGCGAGTTACATCTTAATATACGTGAGTTACATCTTAATGTATGTGAGTTACACACGGAATAAACTCCAGCTATATCATTTTTATTGCCCTAATATTAAAAATAAAACATATTCACTAGTTAAAAAAAGTAGTTAAGCTATTAAGATCAATTTTTCATTGTTTACATTGAAATCAATGTTTATAATATCTCAAACACACAAAAAAAATCATTGTTCAATTTTCCAACAAGTTACATTCTGTATACACCCAAGTTACATTTGCCATCAACGCGAGTTACATTTGTAATAACACGAGTTACATTAAAAAATCAACTCATGCTATTGAAACAAAAAAATGATATTTTCTAAAAAATTGTTTTTTTTACCATGATATTAAAAACAAAACATATTCACGTTTTACCTAAAACAATTGTGCAATTAGACTTTTTTTTCAGTGTTTACATTGAAATCAATATTTGACAAGTTACATTTCGGATGGGCTTGAGTTACATTGATCAATAATGTGAGTTACATATCTTTACATGCGAGTTACACCATTCATGTTACTGGGACAAAAAAATCATGGTTCACGCGTGTATTGTTCACGCGTGTACTGTTCACACGATTTTTTTTAATTGCCCAAAACTACATTGTTTTGAGAGTGGGAGCATGATGCTCATGGTGGGACGGTCGTATGGTATACAAACTGATGCCGGTGATTGAAATATTATAACATGAACAAATATTATATGGGTGCTTAAATTCTTATTGAACGCTATCATATGTCATGATAAGAAGCCCCGATTCAAAGAGAATAAGAAACCCGTTAGACTTGAATTCGTGATATGCAATGACCAAACAATTTCAAAAACATGTCATCTACAAGATCTTTAGTCATGTCACTCATTATATTTGAAATATGTGACTTTATTAAACTTGTAATATTTATTACTATTTCTT